CAAAATTTCATTTAGATGTCACTAATTAAGTCTTCTTGGCAGTTAATCCCTGGAAATCCTATTTGCCATGATCATTGATCATCTCCGTCAATCATTGTCATTCCGTGCAGTCTGTTCGGTGGTCATCGTTTCAGTTTCAATTTTCAGTTACTGTGCTTTTAACCACTATCCAGCATTGCGCAGCTTTTCTGATCCATGAAATACCCGCTGCAATGACAAGTTCGGTACTTTCTGTTTCTTCTGTAGATTTCCTAATAGCTTTTTTTTGAGGTTTTCAAGAAATCTAAGCATTGGGTTGTACGTTATAGCATTTTTAGCTTATCAGGTATTGGATATTAATATAAGGAAAGGATAACTTCGAGGTTCTGGATAATCACCATGAATGACAACTGTACATTTCCGTCGGTAAGGATATTAAGTCAATTCAGTTTACTGAATTTGCTGGGCGTAAGCGCACCGTTACTGTTTCTCGACGCCTAGAAGGACTGTTCGGGTGCAGGACTGAAGCTCTGCTTTGGGCCGAACCCGCATGCCTTCGAACGGCAATTAAGTGGCCATAGGCATATTTACGCAGAACATAATCCTGATATTCTGGATAAGTGCGATAAATAATGGCTTTTCAATTCCGCCGGTAAGGATATATAGCCAATTCATTCCAGGGCATTTTACTGGATTTAATTGGCGTAGCACGATAGCAGCCGGATTGTTTTTCAGCTGTGAATCCAATGAAATGGGTTTCTGTTTAATCTGATTAGAACCAACCTATTTATGAGTTGGGCTTGCGCATTTGTATCAGACGCAGAGCTAAAATTTTTGAAAGGACTACGGGTCATTATACTCCCTTTACCCTTATCTAATTGCAGTGTGACACTATTAATATAAGTGGCAGTGGCATTTGATATGCTTAGATTATTCCAGTTTGCATACTGGGAGCATTTTTGCAGTATATACGGTATTTGGGAATCCTCCCAAATTAGAATCTCCACCGCAACAACCACTTAACAATGGTATTCTCGACGGACCGGTAAGAATCATTTTATTAGCCTGGACTGTTAGACTTGCAAAGCCATCCTTAGAGTGATGCTGTGGAACTCTGTGATTTTCAGTATTTACATTCTGACGCCGCTTCAATCATCAACCATTTTGCTGTTCTACTTAAAATTTTATGCCACCTTAAACTGTGCTGCTTTGCTTATCTATCTCATAAGCAAAACTGTTCGTAATAAAGTGACTGACTGCTTTTCAGGAAACGATATCACTGTCACCATTCGGTTGGGGCAGTCTTTGCTCCGCGACAGCAACCACACACATTTCATGCGATGTTTCTGAATGAATTCTTATTGTTTCAAGGAGCTAAAGTACCCATAGTGTAGTTCTGGCCAGAATTTAATTTTATCGCCGGTTAAGCCAGCCTTAGTGAATCACTGGTAATTTATAACTGCCAAACTGTTTAATGCTATTTAAAGCTGCTGAATGCGTTGTTTAGGTGACTGTTGAGAAATTGTCGATGGAAGGTGCTTTGCGATGGCTTTTTTTGGTGTGAACCTGTTACTTCATTATAGTTAAAACGATCCTTTAATGCTTTCACTTTTATGGTTGATTAATTTAAACAATGCGTTGTGTCGCAGACTTTTCTTGGCACCGTCCCTCATAAGGAAGTCGCTTGTATGAAAACGTGCTTCACAGTACAAGCGCTGTCCTCTTTCCAAAGCGTGCTTGTTTATTTAAATGGTTTCCTCGTGCTTCTTTTGCATTTAATGTGCTTCATAACCATAATCCAAACATTTTTGTTTAGTGTTGTGGTTTTTATCTTATAAGCAGATCTTCATTCAAGTCCTTAGAGAATCTTTCATGGTTGATTATGGTTTCTTTGTTAACCTGTCGTTTTGCCTTTCACGTTTCATTATAGGTCTTTACTATTACCATAGAGAAGTAAAGAATATGTCCCGTCTGATCTGTTGTGGCGTACCTTATCGTGGTTTAACTTAGCCCCCTTTCGTAGAGATAGACACTAAAGCAAAAAATCTGCAAGCAGCATTCGGTTAATAAAATTTCTTAGCGACTCTATATCGTTGAATTTTGTATTGCTTTTTAAACATAATTTTGCCAGTGATATTGCGTCATAAATTTTTAATGAAGCTAAAAGCCATAGTCATAATTTTTCAGCCTTTTGACCATCTCTCTTTATCTGTTAAAATTTTTAGGTTGTGCTTTCTCAGAATGTACGGGATCGTCTGTTAAGAGTGATTCCGATTCTGAGCCAGAAGACATGGCTTCCAGAGTCGAAGCCAGCTATCGATGAATACCTGAAGTTGCTCGCAGCATATGTACCTCAACTGCTTCACTTGGTCGAAGGCCAGGACTTGGATTCTACTCGTACTTGTTCTGTTTTTGATCAAAGTTCCGAAAGCTTTGCTTCAACGTCAGGGGAGAGTCTGTCCTCCGATGATCGCTTCAGGCAGTATCTGAACGACCTGCAGCAAGAAAATGCCATAAACAAGGGACACGCACTTATTATGATAAAACTTATGGTCGCTGATCGTAGCATCGAATTTAAGCAGTCGATTTGTCCCGCTATTCGGATATTAATCGGTACAGACTAATTTTATTTATGGCTGCATGCATTGGATAAACATGGCTATATTTTTCAGATATGTGCACGTTTTTTCTGTGTACTTACATTAGTTTAGCACTCAGGGAAAGGACGCAATCTTGTCGCTCATTTATGCCAAATATTAGATAGAAATACACAAACGATATATGAAACGCAGTACAGCAGCTTTAATTTTAAAATGGTTCTCGATTTTTGGCTAGGAGCTGTACAAAACTTGAATTTGTACATTCAATTTGAACCCAATAGCTTTAAGGACACGAACACATCCAGAACAAAAATTTTTGTTTACTGATGAATGACGATATTCGTTACTGACAGACAATAATATTATCATTATAACGCACGATAGTAATTAGTGCGATGGAAGCAGCTGGTATTAATTCAGATAGTTGGGGAGGGGTGTGGGTTTGCTCTGGCAAAAGTCTTAACTACAGTCCGCATTCCATCTGCATACGGACTGACTACGCTTCGGTTTTATCCTATTTCAAATGACACCTAATATTAATTGCATATGTGTTTCTTATGCGTAAGAATGTGGACGGATAATTTAAGTAACTGCTCTAACTTAGTGTTATTTTATTCTACCTATTATAGATGCCTTCATCACTCTATGACTGCTCTTTTTATACTAGATGCTAGGGTATTTTGTTTACCCACTATTTGAGCCACCGAATGCTTCTGTATGGGATTACATCGCAAAAAAGTTCATTTTATACAAGTTCTCAGTGTTTCGGATCATGCTAGATTGTCGTCAGGGAGCGATATATTGCTGTTACGATGTTACAGCACCTCTCGGTGTATTTAGGTGCAAATTTTCCGGTGGAGGCTTTAGCCTCGATGGTGGAATTTGCTTCAAAACTTCGTTTCAGTGCGAACTTGGTTCCATGCTGACCTCTCTTTTCATGCATTTATTTTATTGGTTGTATCATCAGTGCTTCTTTCAGCTTCCGGTTTAGAAAGTTTCGCCCTTTGGTGTATTCTCTTCATATGGTCCCTAAGTGTGCAGTGCCATTCCTGTGCTGCATGCTGCACAGCCTCCGAGTTCTCGAGTTTCGCATTCTCTCTTTACCACCTGCAGATCTTTCGTTTGTCATCGCCGTTTACGTTAGTCCATTCTGAGGTATATCGGCGTTGTGCCGTCTAGTCAAGTTACTGAGATGTTTTTTCTTCTTTCTTTCGTCACTTTGTCTTGGTTTTGTACTTTTATATCTGTGTATAATAAACTTATATGCGGTGTAACCCCGTAAAGAATTTGTCGAATTTCGAACTAAATTCCCGCACGAAAGAATCCACCTCAGTGTATAATGCAAATATTCTGATGATATGTAGCTTTTAATGATGTGCACACAATTCTAATTGTTACGCTTAACATTAGGCACAATTATGATTGCTATGACTATTTCTAACATTAAACGTTGTGAATCCTAACTCTTGACTTGCGGTAGACCGGAACAAATATTTGGTTGAATCTCTTTTGTTTGGATACATGAAAGATGAAAGGAATACACATTATGGGTGTAATCGTAAGTGGTTTATGGATCGATTAAAGCTGGGGCGCTGCAGTAGTTTGTGCATTACATTCACAGTATAGCTTTCGTGGCTGAAAGCGGCGCGAAGGTGTTTTTCTGCGCGCAGAAATTGTTCGTCTTGCATACAGACAGAGCTAGGAAGTGTGTTTCTGACCATGTTGCTGACGATGGCCGTTGAGAGAGGTATAATTTTAGATGGTGTATCAGTTTGAATGAGCCCCTTTGTTTTAGACTGTGTGAAACTAATGCTTCTTTTGGACTTCGCGTAAGGACATCCATAAAGGCAAAGATTGATTATTTTGCTTTTCAACCTTAATTTAGTTTGACAGGTCACATCCAGTGTATTTGTATATCAAGTGAGCTTTTTGCTAGTTGATCACAATTAAGTATTGGTATCATAAAACAACAAAAATGTCTTTGTTAAGCTGGTTGTTGAATGGCTGTCGAATGTTTTCAGGGCGCAGTCCCATGGCTTTGTTCTCAATAAGGTTTAAGCAGCTTGTACTGACGAGCACGTTGACACCGTAATTTCTGAAAAAAAGTTTTTATTTAAATTAAATGTCTTACTGAATCCAACTGGAGAACAAGACCCTGAAATCCTATGATGCGCAATAGCGACCGTAATTCTATGTCCGGCTTGTAGAGATATTTTTATTTTGTTCTATCAGGTACCAGCGCTCGCCCCGTTGATAAATTCGCGGGTCATAAATTGTTCTCAGTTAACTGCTGAGGTGAAGTAACTTCGTAAATCGCTGCATGACGTGTTTCAAAGGTATGCCCGGCATCCATGTTTTTGCTGCATTCTTGGCTGAACTCGTGTAAGTAATCTTTCCATTTAGAACAGTTGACCAATGACGATTCTTACGTGTATTTGTCCGCAATCAATGCTATAGCTGCTGTTGTGTTGCGATGTCCGGACGAAATTTTGCCCTGTCTTTTACGCGAATCCTTGAAGCCTGAAATGGATCGAATGCCGATGGTGAGGGCTAGGCTGTACGAAGCCCTAGCGAAGATTATTCGATGTCTAGGCGAGTGTGGACCATAAGCATAGGTCATTGTGCTAATTTTTATTTTTGCAGGCGATCTCAAGAGCACCTACGTAGCAAGGATCATTAACTCATCACTAACGGCTTTTCAGTGCGGCGATGATGCTGTGAAAACCAGCTGCTTGTGTATAATTGCAGAAATGGCGAAGCTAGTTGGTTTTGATCTGGTCGGATGCCTGGAGGAGGTAAAAACGCACTTACAGATGAGTCACTGTTAAGGCGTTAGGACTAAGCCAGAAAAACGCCGGATGCAATGCTTTTCGAGCTTACCGCTCATTACTTCCACGTACTGGATAGAAATGAAGTCATCGCGACGTATTTAATACTCTCTCGCGGTACAGCCACACGTGACTTCACAGTTTAGGTGTATAAGTTTCTTACAAATCCAATCTTTTTTTATCAGTATTCTCTTTCAGCAGTATTGCTTGTACAGGTGTTTATCATCTCCTCTCAAAGATATGCACAAGCATTTTATCCCAGTCGTTCTGTTCAGTGTCCTGCTAAAAGTACTTTGTTGCTGGACAGATGTCGATCGAATTAACCTTTACCCTTTTAGCAGAATTATGGCCCCGCAGTAGAACTGCATATTTAGCTGATTGTTTAATGGTTTATGATGAACATACTCACTGCTGTTAGGGATATACAGGTGTGCTCTCCGCCCTACATCGTTCTTACATGCGATCTTTTACTTTGCTCTTTGTCCGCCGCTTTTCACAACATGAACAGACATGGGAAGACGATTTTGGGAGCAGCACTTTCTCTCGACTCACATTCTGATCATATACTTCAGCAGTTCACCTTCAGTTGCTGGTTCTGCTTCCACGTCGATCTCTTTTAAGATGGACTGCAGGCAACCTTCTGAATTGCCTCGAAGCACTTACTTCAGAATCGTAGCAAGTGAACGACCCATAAAATGTTTTTACCAGCGTCTAGCCCTGATATGGCAGTGTCATGTCTTGGGTGACTTGACACATGTAATTGACTATAACACGTTGATATTACTTTATGAACGGCGCTATGCTTGTATGTTAGACGTGCTGCTCAAGTTGTGAAATAGACACCTTACACTAAATGAAAGACGCTAACGGTGGTGCCGATACGATACAGTTTCCATGTTATAGTAGTTGAAGGTTTGTTCTCTGGCCGAACTTGTGCGTCGAAAAGTGGTGCGATGTTTTGATGAATATTCTAAGAGATGTTTAATCCGTACGCCGTCATTACTTGATCATGCTTCACGTTAAGTTCTTCGCCTATTTCATTTTTTCTTTCTAATTATGACTTCGGTTATTGAAATTGTGTGATTGGTTCTACTGTTCTTTCATTTGCTAACGATATAATTCATATTTAACTCCATTTAAGTATGAAATATACTTGAACAGTTAGATTCGTCAACTGCTTCGAGTGCGAAAAACGTTTATAGTTGGTTGCTGCTTTGCGAGGTATTCAATTTCCTTCGTTTTTAGGTGTTGTACATTGTCCAAGAAACACTCTTATGCTCTAAAGACATCATGCTTCGCAGAGCAGCTGCGAGTACTCTGGCGATGATCGCTGATGGCGCGGCTAAATGCGATATTACGGATTCCGTATGATATCAGTGCATTTACTTCCGTTACTGATGCTTTGGTTTTAGGTGAATCAGGCATCCCTAGTTATCCTTCGCCGGTTGCTGCAGTCGTTGCTTGATACCGATGACGATTCCGTGATTGCTTTGTTTTCTTCAATGGGCCTACGAAGTTTAAAGGATATTGTGCTTGGCGGCGGCAACTAGATTCTATCCGGTCATCTGTTTTCATTGTCATTCCGTTATCTGTGCATCGTGTGTATATTTTATAATTCTAGAGAGAATTAAAACCTTTACCGTAAATGTCTTGTTAATTGTTTTGTCGTCGTATGAAGTTAGCCTCTAATCGATTCGGCAGCAAGGTTAACTGGAGCCAAAATTTGGAGGGTTACAGGTGATTTTGTACCTAGAGAATCGAAGATCAGGGTTAATAACGCAATTGTTTGGCGTAACGATCACGTTCAACCGTTTGTACTTGCAGAACTTGTTCGGATTGTTGCACTACATTTTTAATTTCTCTAGAATTTTGCCATAAATTCGCAGTAGCTGTATTAAAACACTTCCTTTCTGAATTACACGGCTGACCGTGTCTTTGTCATCCATCTTATATTTGGGCTTTCTTACGTCGTGGATGTTTGTGAAGTATGTTCGATTGAGCATTTTTTATAGCAGCCGACAAATGAAAAACTACATATGACAGGGCTAACTTTAATAAGTAAAAGAGCACCTTACCTCTTAATTCAGAGCATAGCCGAGTTAGGAAAGCGACGTTACTTATAGGGCACTTGAGCAGCAAAAAACAAGTAGTGCAACATCATTTCAGTTAATGTGAGATTCAGGTAATCTCGATTACACTTCTTTCTCTGTTGGATTCGGTTCGATCTGAATTCTTTTAACCTTACGATGGATGAAGTGTCAACCATCTTCTTCATGTACGCATCCATCTTACCTGGAAGAATTCATGATGTCTCTACGATAATGCATAGATCAATGCTGGCGTTAGTTTTTAGACAGAGTTTCTGCATCTGTCTTTTTTCAATAAGTGATACTTTCAGTTGCACATTATTCCAGCTGCAAAAACACAGTTATAGCCCTGTTTGTACCTACACTGTTGCTATTGATCAAGTTAAGTTACCAGGTCATTTACTGTTGTCATTAAACCGAAGTTATATCTCTTATGCAGCAGTCTTGTTCTTTGTGATGATCGGGATCAGTTACCGACTCGATAAGCGGCTTCATCATGCAAAGGATTTATGCAATTTTCATAGGAAAGTCAGTCAGCAAGTTTCAACTATCGCTTATCCTTTCGAGTCGTGGAGGCAAACTTATTAGAACTATGTCTCTAGCGCTTGAGTTTCGATAGATGATAACTAGAGTCTCGGGGAACAGTTGTTCCACAAACTTGACCCTGATCAATATTGGCCGTCATTCTCGTTTTTGGCCGGCCGGTTAGGCAAACAGTAGCTATTTCACCTTCCTTGATGATAGCATTTGCAATGCGTGCCCAAACCGTTGCATCCGAGACTTTGATCTGGAGAAGCAGCGGCTGTGCACTGAAGCACTCTTGAATATTTATACTCCAGACCATGTCGAGACGCGCGATCCCAGTGATTCGTCTCAGAATGATTATTTCAACCACTTGTACCAGTGATCGAAATTTCTCAGTTATGATCTAGGGCTCATGACCGTAGGTAAGCATGGGGAGGAGCATCAGCTTGAACTCCAAAGCTTAGTCTTCAGACTTACCTCTGTTTTGGTCATAACGGTTCAAGTTAGTTCTTGCATAATGCCCTGGCAATTCCAATCCACCAGTCGATATCTTCCTCCCATATTTTGTCAACAGTGAACATGACCTAGAGAAGTATGAATTTCTCCATCTGTTCCATCGCTTTTCTATTTATCTACCGAGCACTTTGCATTTTGCTTTAGACACATTCACGCGCTTGCCAGCCCCATTGCACTCGGATGCAAATTTTTCTAGAGAGTGCTTGCGATTATCCACAGAACATACCAACAAAATAAAATCATCTGCAAGTAGGAGCCTTCTCTTATTCACATTTCATATGTTCATACATCCTTTGCCCTTGCTGCGCCTGACTATTCTGCACATATGGAACACGAACAAGAGAGAGGACAGAATGCACCCTTGGCGGAGACTAGAGTCAAAAATGCACGTTGTGGACTTGGCACTGTTTACCCTGACCACCTGTTATGAGGATATGGTAATTGCACTGCTCATTGCAACTGATTATCG